ACACTCACAGATACACAGACACACACACAGACTCACTCACAAATACACACACAGACACACACACAGACATACTCACAGACTCACGCACAGATACACGCACAGATACACACACAGACACACACACGTACAGACACACGCACAGACACATGCACAGACACATGCACAGACACAGACACACACACAGACACAAAGATACAAAGATGCCCCGTATAGCCTTCACAGACTGTAGGGGCAAGTGCTGTTAGCAAGCACCTATGAAGGCCAGCACGGCACACGAGGGGGTGGGTGTTCACAGCACCACACCCGACCGCCTTTGTCTCCCCAGTGGCGATGTTTACTACGCACCGGACCGGGCACTCATTTGGGGCTGAGTCGACCTCCGGACGCGGTGTGTCTGAAACGTGTTGTGGCCTGCAGACCACACAAGCCGTGGACCACTCACTTCCCTCTCTAAATACCAGTGCTGCTGATGCACAATCATTCACGTTGTCGGAACTTAATACATTCTTTTTCAGGAGGGGAGCATTTAGATGTTAGGGGTTAGGGGTATGAATTTTAGATCAGGGGTAAAGCTTACCAAACAACATCTTCTTTAAGTCAAATATCACGAGTGGAATGCGAATGTCCGACACATAACGGTGCGAGAAATGTTGTCGTCATTGTCCGGGTCGGCTCTGCGGGGGGACCGCCTGGATGACCCCCGCCGTAGCGGTGGAGTGGGGAGCGGTGGTGCAGCGGTTAGTGTAGCGCTGCGCTACGAACCCGACGACCCAAGTTCGATTCCCGCTCACGGCCCACGCCGGTGACAATGATCCGAAACGGTCCTGGGGCTCCCCTAGGTCGACTCAGCCTCAAGAGAGAACCTGGTGTCGCCACTGGGGAGACAAAGGCGGCCGGGCGTGGTGTTGGCCACCCATCCCCTTGTGTGCCGTGCCGGCCTTGATAGGTGCTCGCTAACAGCACTTGCCCCAACAGTCTGTTTAGTCTACATTGGGAGCTTTATCTTTAGTGGTTCCAGGATCCATACTTTCTGAGAACCACCGGTTGAGATGATCGCCACTGATGTCAAGCCGTGGAGGGGCACCATGGGATGTTGAGATGATCGCCACTGATGTCAAACGGTGAAGGGGCTCCATGGAATGGTCCCTGCACCCTAGGGGACGCTTCTTCCTCCGCTAGTCTAGCGCCGTGTTTCTCCAACAAGTTTTTTGGCCTGTGGACCACTCGGCCGATGCAAACATTTGTCTCGATGCAACTCGGCCACCTCGCCATGAGCCCTGGTGACGGACCGCAATCACTTCTCTCTCTCTCTTTAAATGCCAGCAATAGATCTGGCACCGTGTCCGTCCTGTGCGCGCCGGGCTGCATTGGCAGCCAGGGCCTTGTTACAAAGTCCTGGCACTCATTACGCACGAAACAATTGCTTGCCACAAATGATCCACAATGGCCTTGCTGATCTTGTCAAGAAGCATCAAGCATCATCGTGCGAACTCTACTCATCTTCGCAGCAGCAGCAGTGGCTGCTGTCCCTGCAGCCAATCACCTTCCACTCTTCCTCGCGGATTCCAACCGTCCCTCGCTGTCAATCATCCTCAGTCTTCCCGCTCTTTATCGTGTTGTAGTTCTACCTCCAATCCCTTCAATTTCCTAAACCGCTAACCAATCCCCTTGCAGGCCCGTTAAGTTACCAATCAGAGGGCTTGTGTTTACTTCCTGGCTGTCCGTGTCATCACGCACGCCGTGTCCAGTGCCGGATGATCCCAGTAGCACAAGTAGCTACATATGTAGTAGCTACATATGTAGCTACTACATATGTAGCTACTACATATGTAGCTACTACATATGTAGTAGCTACATATGCTACAGTCCCCGCACTTTCAAGGGCCCCGCGCTAAATGCTTTCAAGCTATCAATTCCCGTTCAGTGATTCTGCACTTGCTCTATCACTACAGTACTATACCGCCTTCAACTTTTACGAACGACTGGATGTTTAAGGTTAGCGATTTGCCATTTTCTGGCTGTATAGAAAATGAAAACATACAATTACTTTACTATGCAAGTAAAAAAATTGTGTTTTAATATTCGTGTTTTTTTTTATTTCGGGCCCCTCTTTATAACATCATGCTACAGGCCCCGCACTAGTTTAATCCGGGATTGGCCGCGTCCATAACGTCTGTGATGTCGGCACGGCCACCTCTTCTCCCAAGACGAACTGGCCAGCGGGAGGAGGAGGAGTAGAACAAGCTGGGGTGCACCTTGAGGGCACAATGTGACATTGGTGAAGGTCTCCGCTGTTGGCAGGGGGACATGGAACAGACCCAGGTGTTGTGGTTGATGAACTGAGGTGACTGTCTCCCTCCTCCACCTCCCCGTGTCTCCCTCCCCCCCTCCCCGTGTCTCCCTCCCCCCCTCCCCGTGTCTCCCTCCCCCCCTCCCCGTGTCTCCCTCCTGCCCGTGTCTCCCTCCCCCCCTCCACGTGTCTCCCTCCCCCCCTCCCCGTGTCTCCCTCCCCCCCTCCCCGTGTCTCCCCCCTCCCCCTCCCCGTGTCTCCTTCCACCCTGTCCCCGTGTCTCCCTCCCCCACATCCCCGTGTCTCCTTCCACCCTGTCCCCGTGTCTCCCTCCCCCCCTCCCCGTGTCTCCCTCCTCCACCTCCCCGTGTCTCCCTCCCCCCCTCCCCGTGTCTCCCTCCTGCCCGTGTCTCCCTCCCCCCCCTCCACGTGTCTCCCTCCCCCCCTCCCCGTGTCTCCCCCCTCCCCCTCCCCGTGTCTCCTTCCACCCTGTCCCCGTGTCTCCCTCCCCCACATCCCCGTGTCTCCTTCCACCCTGTCCCCGTGTCTCCCTCCCCCCCTCCCCGTGTCTCCCCCCACCACCTCCCCGTGTCTCCCTCCCCCCCCTCCCCGTGTCTCCCTCCCCCACATCCCTGTGTCTCCCTCCCCCACATCCCCGTGTCTCCCTCCCCCCCTCCCAGTGTCTCCCTCCCCCCCTCCCCGTGTCTCCCACCACCTCCCCCCCTCCCCGTGTCTCCCCCCTCCCCCTCCCCGTGTCTCCTTCCACCCTGTCCCCGTGTCTCCCTCCCCCACATCCCCGTGTCTCCTTCCACCCTGTCCCCGTGTCTCCCTCCCCCCTCCCCGTGTCTCCCTCCTCCACCTCCCCGTGTCTCCCTCCCCCCCTCCCCGTGTCTCCCTCCTGCCCGTGTCTCCCTCCCCCCCTCCACGTGTCTCCCTCCCCCACTCCCCGTGTCTCCCCCTCCCCCTCCCCGTGTCTCCCTCCCCCCTCCCCGTGTCTCCCTCCCCCCCCCCCCGTGTCTCCCCCCTCCCCCCCGTGTCTCCCTCCCCCCCCCCGTGTCTCCCTCCCCCCCCTCCCCGTGTCTCCCTCCTCCCCCTCCCCGTGTCTCCCTCCCCCACATCCCCGTGTCTCCCTCCCCCCCTCCCAGTGTCTCCCTCCCCCCCTCCCCGTGTCTCCCTCCCCCCCTCCCCGTGTCTCCCTCCCCCCCTCCCCGTGTCTCCCTCCTCCCCCTCCCCGTGTCTCCCTCCCCCACATCCCCGTGTCTCCCTCCCCCCCTCCCAGTGTCTCCCTCCCCCCCTCCCCGTGTCTCCCTCCCCCCCTCCCCGTGTCTCCCCCCTCCACCTACCCGTGTCTCCCTCCCCCACATCCCCGTGTCTCCTTCCACCCTGTCCCCGTGTCTCCCTCCCCCCCCTCCCCGTGTCTCCCCCCTCCACCTACCCGTGTCTCCCTCCCCCCCTCCCCGTGTCTCCCCCCTCCACCTACCCGTGTCTCCCTCCCCCCCCCTCCCCGTGTCTCCCTCCCCCCCCTCCCCGTGTCTCCCTCCTCCCCCTCCCCGTGTCTCCCTCCCCCACATCCCCGTGTCTCCCTCCCCCCCTCCCAGTGTCTCCCTCCCCCCCTCCCCGTGTCTCCCTCCCCCCCTCCCCGTGTCTCCCCCCTCCCCCTCCCCGTGTCTCCTTCCACCCTGTCCCCGTGTCTCCCTCCCCCACATCCCCGTGTCTCCTTCCACCCTGTCCCCGTGTCTCCCTCCCCCCCTCCCCGTGTCTCCCTCCTCCACCTCCCCGTGTCTCCCTCCCCCCCTCCCCGTGTCTCCCTCCTGCCCGTGTCTCCCTCCCCCCCTCCACGTGTCTCCCTCCCCCCCCTCCCCGTGTCTCCCCCCTCCCCCTCCCCGTGTCTCCCTCCCCCCCTCCCCGTGTCTCCCCCCTCCCCCTCCCCGTGTCTCCCTCCCCCCCTCCCCGTGTCTCCCTCCCCCCCCTCCCCGTGTCTCCCTCCTCCCCCTCCCCGTGTCTCCCTCCCCCACATCCCCGTGTCTCCCTCCCCCCCTCCCAGTGTCTCCCTCCCCCCCTCCCCGTGTTTCCCTCCCCCCCTCCCCGTGTCTCCCTCCCCCCCCTCCCCGTGTCTCCCTCCTCCCCCTCCCCGTGTCTCCCTCCCCCACATCCCCGTGTCTCCCTCCCCCCCTCCCAGTGTCTCCCTCCCCCCCTCCCCGTGTCTCCCTCCCCCCCTCCCCGTGTCTCCCCCCTCCACCTACCCGTGTCTCCCTCCCCCACATCCCCGTGTCTCCTTCCACCCTGTCCCCGTGTCTCCCTCCCCCCCTCCCCGTGTCTCCCCCCTCCACCTACCCGTGTCTCCCTCCCCCCCCCTCCCCGTGTCTCCCTCCCCCCCCTCCCCGTGTCTCCCTCCCCCCCCTCCCCGTGTCTCCCTCCTCCCCCTCCCCGTGTCTCCCTCCCCCACATCCCCGTGTCTCCCTCCCCCCCTCCCAGTGTCTCCCTCCCCCCCTCCCCGTGTCTCCCTCCCCCCCTCCCCGTGTCTCCCCCCTCCACCTACCCGTGTCTCCCTCCCCCACATCCCCGTGTCTCCTTCCACCCTGTCCCCGTGTCTCCCTCCCCCCCTCCCCGTGTCTCCCCCCTCCACCTACCCGTGTCTCCCTCCCCCCCCTCCCCGTGTCTCCCTCCCCCCCTCCCCGTGTCTCCCTCCTCTTCCCCTTGTCTCTTGCAGGTCTCTGTGCTGGATAGAGACAAATTCGGATCAACGGAATTCCTCTCTTCAACCAGGCGTAAGTACGTGTGTGTGTGTGCGAGTGATAATGTGACTTGAGGAGTTCCCGCACCTGGGCAGTTTGCTTATAACCAGCTTCCCTTTAGCAGCGGTCTCTGAATCAGTCGGGTGGACTCATCTTCTCAGCGGCTGCATAACGCCGTGTGGAAGCTACCTGGCCTGCCGCTCCGCACGAAGCTTTCGGCCTTCTCGGCCATGGTCATGCCCTCCCTTCTCTGTGCTTCCGAAAAGTGAACCCCGCTAATTAAACATCTGCGCTGGTTGGAAACATTCAGGTTGGCCTGCCTACGATCCGTACTGGATCGTGTGAGGAGCTCACAGATTCTTGAAAGATCTGGATAGTCTCATCAATAAACTTTTCTCGCAGGCAAAGCCACCGCATGCCAAAACAGCTTCTGTTTGGCCGGATAGAGGGGGCTAATAGGCACGACCCAGGCTTGAGAAAAGATGGAGCTGACACGGTCCAGGAGGATGTGGAGCTGAGTGGACTTGCCAATAACCGGTACTAGAGGTGTCAAGATCGGCCTCTGTGGAGGAGGCTCGTGAAGGATGCCGCTGGGCAGTTAGAGGCAGTCGCCCTCCAGCAACAGCGGAGGGCTGAGGAGCGACGCTCACAACAACGAGCGGAGCGCCGGGCGGGTAAAACGCAGCAAGGCAACACAATAGGGTGCACAGGTGGTGCATCTGCCAGTCATCTCAGTCAGTCGACCTCAGTCCCTTGACCTGCCAGGCAGGGGGGCTTTCATTATATCTATAAATAGTAGTGATCTGACCTCTGACCCCCAGTTGGTTTGCCGAGTTTTTCTGTGAGATTGTGGGAGAGGGGTGAAACCCCTCAGCTCAGGTAACATCATGGGGCAAGGTGGTGGTGACCCTGCTGAAGCTACAGATATTGGAGGAAGTAGGCACTCCCTGTGAGTGTTTGACTGATGGTGCCACCATCTGTTGAGGAAGTACGAAGTCTGAGACCTGGTAAAGTGCTGGGCAGAGATGACGTCCCAAGCAAACTGCTGAGGGAAGGTGGCATCTCTGTGTAGACTGCCCTATATGACATCAATACGACCGTCTGGACCACGGGATGTGTTCCGTTGGATTGGAAGGATGCCCTGGTGGGCCCCCATCTTTAAAATGGTGGATCGCAGAGACTGTAACAACTACAAGAGTATTTCCCTTCCCAGTGTGCCGGGAAGGTCCTGGCAAAGATGATTCAACATCGCCTTGCCAGGCACGCTGAGGAGAGGCTTGCGGAGCCCCAATGTGGTTTCAGGAAAGGGCGGTCCTGCACAGATGCCATATTGTCTCTCCGTATGCTACAGCAGAGGTGTAGGGAATTACAACAAGACCTACATCTCTGCTTTATTGACCTGGTGAAGGCCTATGATCCCAACAGTAGGCCAGGGCTTTAGACTGTTCTTCACGCTCTCGAAATCATGACCCTCTGCTCACAATCATTAAGGGCCTTCATGATGGTGGGTAGGCCCGGGTAGAGCTACGTGGCCGGGAGTCAGAGGCATGCCCTGTTCACCTTGGGGTGTGACAGGGATGTCCTCTAGCACCAACATTATTTAACATCATCTTTGCCTACTGGGAGATCGATCAATGCCTGGGTACATTCAAGAGTTGGCGCAATTTGTCAGCCATGTTATGAATGCTGATTATCTGGTGATTGCTGCTCACTCACAGAACCTGGAGCATCCCCATGAGTAATGGCGCAGTTGTGGAAAGAGTGGAGAGGTTTCTGCACCTGGGCACTGTGCTTATGACCAACTCGGGTTTGGCAGCAGAGATCTGACTCCGAATGAGTGGAGCGCCATTATTCTTTTCATCGGCAGCGTGTTTCACTGCTGTGGGGAAGCTGCCTGGCCTGTCGCTTCACACGAAGCTCGGGGCTTTCTGCCATCAACGAACCTTACAATTTTCAAGCGGCCTCAAACTGCACCTAGCCTGGCACAAGTCCTGTTGGCCATGTCACCGCCGCTTAGTGGCAAATGGTGGCCGTTGTTGGTCCGTATGCGTCCGTGTGGACGTGTCAACACGTGTACACGTGTCTCTGCTTGTACGTGTGGATGTTGAACTTCTTTCACACCGTACGTAGCCAATCATGCTCATCGGAGGTGCGGGGGAAGGACAACAAACTAAACACGAAGAGCAGTTACAAAGACACGAGTTTGTCGATCTAGAGGATGTTTTAAAAGTGCATCGATCCAGTGGCTTCCTAACATTGGAAGGGAAGAGCGTTCCAGACGGCCGCAAAAAGTGCATCTTAGAGCGCCACGCGATGCGGTGTGACCATCTTTGTTCGATGGCGAGCCAAAAGCCGCTGCAGCGAGGATGACTAGAGTTAGCGTGCTTTGTACGTGTGTGTGTGTACGTGTGTGTGTGTGTGTACGTGTGTGTGTGTACGTATGTGTGTGTGTGTGCGTACGTACGTGTGTGTGTGTGTACGTGTGTGTGTGTACGTGCGTGTGTGTACGTGTGTGTGTGTGTACGTACATGTGTGTGTGTACGTGCGTGTGTGTGTGTACGTGTGTGTGTACGTACATGTGTGTGTGTACGTGTGTGTGTACGTATGTGTGTGTGTGTGCGTACGTACGTGTATGTGTGTGTACGTGTGTGTGCACGTGTGTGAGTACGTGTGTGTGTGTGTACGTGTGTGTGTGTACGTGTGTATACGTGTGTGTGTGTACGTGTGTGTGTGTGTACGTGTCATGTGGGGAGCGGTAGTGTAGCGGTGAGCGCTACGCTACTAACCCGGCCACCCGACTCTGGATTCCCACTCACGGCCACCAACACCGTTGACGATTATCTGAACCGGTCCTGGGCCTCTCCCCTAGGTCGTCTCAGCCTCAAATGAGCGCCTGGTGCGGTGTGTAAACATCCCCGCCGGGGAGACGGAGGCAGGAGGGGCGAGGGGCTCTCCTCCCGCCCCTCGTCGTGTGCCGTGCCGGCCTTCATCGGCGCTGCTGCTCGCTAACAGCGCTTGCCCCAGCAGTCTGTCTTTGTCATGGGGAGTAAGATCATGCAGTGTCGCCGCTATTGACCAACGCAATGGCCAAATGCTGAAAAATTACCCGCTAATTACTCGCAGCAGCAGCGGCGGCGGCGGCAGCAGCGGCGTATGGCGCAAACTTGACAGGACAAAGTCTTGAGACTCGGACTGATGAAACGCGAGTGAATTATAATGATGTTTGCATGTGCGTGTGTCTTTGTTTGCGCGCGTGTGGGTGCATGTGTGTGTGTGCGTGCGTGTGTCTGTGTTTGCGCGCGTGTGTGGGTGCGTGTGTGTGCGTGCGTGTGTGCGTGTGTGTGTGTGTGTGCGTGCCTGTGTTTGCGTGTGTGTGTGTGCGTGTGTGCGTGCGTGTGCCTGTGTGTGCGTGCGTGTGTGCGTGTGTGCGTGCGTGTGCGCGTGTGCGTGCGTGTGTGTGTACGTGTGTGCGTGCGTGCGTGTGTGTGCGTGCGTGTGCGCGTGTGCGCGTGTGCGTGTGTGTGCGTGTGTGCGTGCGTGCGTGTGTGTGCGTGCGTGTGTGCGTGCGTGCGTGTGTGTGTGTGCGTGCGTGTGTGCGTGCGTGCGTGCGCTTGTCGTCTGTGTGTGCAGGCCGGAAGATGTTGGACTAGCGCGTGTCCAGTGCCGTCTGGAAACATGTTAACCGGTTATCCGGTGAACATCTCAACCACGTCAGCGGTGAACACATGGCCAACACGGTCGACATTCCGGTGTTCCACGGAGACACCAAAGTGATCTCTCTCCCGCTCTGCTGTCTCCCTCTCGCATGGTGTGCGGGGATGGTTAATCAAAGTCTCTTCACCATGCCAAGCTAGAACCAAACCAAGGTAGCGACGTCACTGGCTCCAGGAGTTTCTTCAACCAGTCTGGCTCGCGGCCAAGTAGGGCCAGGGGCGGGGCTTAATGACGTCTGTCACAGCGTATGAGTGTGTGTGCGTGCGTGTGGGTGTGTGTGTGTGTGCGTGCGCGTGTGTGTGTGTGTGCGCACGTGTGTGTGCGTGTGTGTAACGTGTGTGTGAGTGTGCGTGTGTGCGTGTGCGTGTGTGTGCGTGTGACGTGTGGCCTGGCACAAGCGTCGTGGTGACGTCACCGTCACTTAGTGGCGAATGGCGGTTATTGTTGTGACGTCAGTTGCCCACATGCATCTCCGCTCGCTCACCGCGTGCGTGTGTGAGTGTGTGTGTGTGCGTGTGTGTGCGTGTGCGCGTGTGCGTGCGTGCGTGTGTGACGTGTGTGCGTGTGTGCGTGTGTGTGCGTGTGTGCGTGCGTGTGTGACGTGTGTGCGTGTGACGTCAGTCGGTACGGGGCGTCACCCACGCGCTTTGCCGCTCGTTGCCCGCGTGCTATGGTATCGCCGTGTCTGTAATTTAACCTGCTGGGCTTTTGATTTAATTTAATTCGGGATGTTTGTTTGTTTTTCGCGACGTTTCTGGTGTTTTGGTTGCATCGTTTTTCCCGTGTTGGTGTTTTCGCGTTTAATGTTCGCGGGGGGGTCATCCAGCAATGGATTGACCGTGGCTGACGATGCTGATTTTTTTGTGTTATTCCGTTGTTTTTTTTCTACTATTGGGGGTCTTTGTCCGGTTTATATGTTTGTCCTTTCGTCGGATTTCATAATCTTCAAGTGCGTGCGGTTTAATTGTTTTATCGCGGTTACTGACCACAACACATCCCCACACACACACACCCTCCTCCCCATGTCTGCACTCTCTCATTAACACTAGAGGCTGTGAGATTATAACACTACAGACTATGAGATTATAACACTACAGGCTGTGTGGGTATAACACTACAGGCTGTGTAGTTATAACACTACAGACTATGAGATTATAACACTACAGACTGTGTGAGTATAACACTACAGGCTGTGTGGGTATAACACTACAGACTATGTGATTATGACACTACAGACTGTGTGAGTATAACACTACAGACTATGAGATTATAACACTACAGACTGTGTGATTATGACACTACAGACTGTGAGATTATAACACTACAGACTGTGAGATTATGACACCACAGACTGTGTGATTATAACACTACAGACTGTGTGATTATAACACTACAGACTGTGAGATTATAACACTACAGACTGTGAGATTATAACACTACAGACTGTGAGATTATAACACTACAGACTGTGAGATTATAACACTACAGACTGTGAGATTATAACACTACAGACTGTGAGATTATAACACTACCGACTGTGAGATTATAACACTACAGGCTGTGAGATTATAACACTACAGACTGTGAGATTATAACACTACAGACTGTGAGATTATAACACTACAGACTGTGAGATTATAACACTACAGACTGTGAGATTATAACACTACAGACTGTGAGATTATAACACTACAGACTGTGAGATTATAACACTACAGACTGTGAGATTATAACACTACAGGCTGTGAGATTATAACACTACAGACTGTGAGATTATAACACTACAGACTGTGAGATTATAACACTACAGACTGTGAGATTATAACACTACAGACTGTGAGATTATAACACTACAGACTGTGAGATTATAACACTACAGACTGTGAGATTATAACACTACAGACTGTGAGATTATAACACTACAGACTGTGAGATTATAACACTACAGGCTGTGAGATTATAACACTACAGACTGTGAGATTATAACACTACAGACTGTGAGATTATAACACTACAGACTGTGTGATTATAACACTACAGACTGTGTGAGTATAACACTACAGACTGTGAGATTATAACACTACAGACTGTGAGATTATAACACTACAGACCGTGTAGGGATGGGGTCCCCGCTGTGGATTTCACACGAAGCCAGGGTTAAGGGGCCGTCCATAAATGACGTCACGCACCTGGGGGGGGGGTCAGACATTTGTGACGATGTGTGACGAGGGGGGGGGGGGTTGGGAAATGTGACGTCACATCAAAATGCGCAACTTTAAATAAATATAGACAACACGTTCTACTTAATGAAATAGACTTTGTAATAAATGTTTTCTCCTACAACATCAGAGTGCAGCGCCATATTAAATACGCACTACAATGACAATAGTTTAAAGCGATTTGAAGCATTTTTTTAAAATATATTTTTTGGGGGGGGGGCAGAGCTTTGTGACGTCATATTTGAGGGGGGGGGGGGCAGACTTTTTGTGACGTCATATTTGAGGGGGGGGGGGGGCTTTATGACGTCATATTTGAGGGGGGGGTCAGACTTTTTGTGACGTCATATTTGAGGGGGGGGCAGAGCTTTGTGACGTTATATTTGAGGGGGGGGGTCAGACTTTTTGTGACGTCATATTTGAGGGGGGGGCAGAGCTTTATGACGTCATATTTGAGGGGGGGGGGTCAGACTTTTTGTGACGCCGTGTGACGAGAATGTGGGGGGAGGTCAAAAATCGTCCCATATCGCGTGACGTCATTTATGGACGGCCCCCTAACGGCGAAGTCCTCTTAGTGTCAAGAATCTTGTGAGACTCGTGGGGAGGTGGGGGGGGGGGCACGCCGCTCAGGGTCCTGAGACTCAGGGGGAGACGCGATGTCAGGGTGGGTGTCACTGCCTCCCGTGAGAACAGAATCGCGGCCGCCTGTTCATCATCGCGCGTGAATCCGATGAGCCGTGAAGCTCTTCGTCGTCTTGTTTGTGTCTCTCTCACAGACGACCACGTGGCGTTGTTGTTGTTGTTGCCTTCACAGAGACTCGCTCGTCATCATCATCATCATCACCCCCCAGTACTTTTGTTGGCATCACAAGATCACATTTTGTGACGCGGTTAGTGCCTTTGTGACGTCACAATCAGTGGCTTTGTGACGTGATTAGTGCCTTTGTGACGTCACAATCAGAGTCAGTGGCTTTGTGACGTGATTAGTGCCTTTTGTGACATCACAATCAGAGTCAGTGGCTTTGTGACGTGATTAGTGCCTTTGTGACGTCACAATCAGTCAGTGGCTTTGTGACACGATTAGTGCCTTTGTGACGTCACAATCAGTCAGTGGCTTTGTGACATGATAAGTGCCTTTGTGACATCACAATCAGAGTCAGTGGCTTTGTGACGTGATTAGTGCCTTTGTGACGTCACAATCAGAGTCAGTGGCTTTGTGACGTGATAAGTGCCTTTGTGACGTCACAATCAGAGTCAATGGCTTTGTGACGTGATAAGTGCCTTTGTGACATCACAATCAGTCAGTGGCTTTGTGACATGATTAGTGCCTTTGTGACATCACAATCAGTCAGTGGCTTTGTGACATGATTAGTGCCTTTGTGACGTCACAATCAGAGTCAGTGGCTTTGTGACGTGATTAGTGCCTTTGTGACGTCACAATCAGAGTCGGTGCCTTCATGATAGATTTAGTGCCATTGTGACTTCAGAATCAGTGCCTTTGTGACGTCACAACGAAGGCCCGTGCCTTTGTGACGTCACTTCACCCGCACTTTTACCCACTACCAGCGTGTCACGTAACCGTCAACTAACGGGATGGATCCATTTACACTGCTGGGGGGCAGTCCATAGTGGGCGGGTGGGGGGGGCAGATCCTACTGTGGGCCCCCCTGAGGCATCACATCTGACGGCCCCCCAAAGCTCGGGGCTCCCCCCCCGATGATTCGCCGGCTACCTGAGGGGGGGGGGGGCGGCTCTGGATCATGCCGAGCGCGAGAGGGTCGAGGGATTTAAGATTCAATCAAACGCCCCCCCCCCTCCCCCCCCAGCGATTCAACGTGGGGCAGCTCGGAGGTTCACATCTCCGTTAACAACTCAGGGGGTGGTGGGGGTGGTGGTGATGGTGTTTGTCGCCGGAGACATTCCCGTAAGCACGGCACACGCCACTAACGGGGCGTTTGACTGCCGAGTTCAATGTGGCTCAAGCACAGCAAGTTGGCGCAGTCGGGGGCACAGGTGGTGCATCAGCCACTCGTCTCGGTCATCTCGGTCAGTCGACCGTCGACCCGTGGCACCTGCTGGCTCTGCCCCGTGACCTCCTGCTGCACCTAGCCTGGCACAGTAGGGGGGCACAGGTGGTGCATCAGACACTCGTCTGTGTCATCTCGGTCAGTCGACCCGTGGCACCTGCAGGGTCTGCCCCGTGACCTCCTCCTGCCAGCGGGCGTTCGACACTTCACGTCGCAGCCTCAAGGTGCACGTGGCCTGGCACAAGCGTCGTGGTGACGTCACCGCCACTTAGTGGCGAATGGCGGCGGTGGTGGTTGTTGTGTGAACTTGTTTCGCAACGGACTTAGCCAACTTTGTTAATCGGAGTTGCGGTTACTGATCATGCAAATGATAACCCTGAGGACATCATTACTATGATGATCACCCCGCTCGTTTACCCACCAAAGCCTCGCCAAGGCTCCAGATGGGTTTTAACTTCACGTTTCCTGTCGAGGCAGCAGAGATCAACGTTGCCCCCCAACGCGTCTTCCAGGTCATCTTGCAGCAGTGGGATGTGTGGCCAAGACCAAGTGACACTTTGCCCTTCTGCTCTGTGTTGTTGTTTTTCGTGTGTTTGTTTGTTGAGCTGATAATGGAATATCTTTCGATTTAAAGCTTTCGTGACTGCAGGGATTCATCTCCTTGGTTCTTTCGGTAAAGTCGTCACGTAGAAGGGAAGTAATAAAATAATACAAATAAAACATAATAAAATAATTCTCACGACGTTTCGGCCACAACACAAGCAGCCGTCCTCAGGTGGAAACCAGTCTGTCGACGGCTGCTTGCGTTGTGGCCGAAACGTCGTGAATTATTTTATAATGTTTTCTTTTTATTGTTTTATTACTTCCCTTCTACGTGACGACTTTACCGAAAGAACCAAGAAGATGGAATGTCTGTTAACACTTTGAACCACAAGGCACTGACGGAGAAGCTGGTCCGTGAGTGAGCGGCCGTGTCGATGTGTTGTGACGGAGCTGATGTCTGATGTGTGCGTGGTGAGTTGGCGATAGGGGAATTGAGAAGGCGGTGGTTATGGATTATGCCGATGTGGGTGTCGCGGATATGAGGGCTGCGGATAACAGGGCGCCGGTAATTGATGCTGTGGGGGGGTGGGGGGGGGGGTCTCGTTGTAAATAACGACAATAAAAATGTGTCCCACAATCCACAGGGCTCTGCTGTGATGCACGGCTCGGTCGCTCGCTGTGTCTGTGTCGGAAACAATCACGGACAGTCCCCGAGATGCGAACGCCCCCTACTTACGCACGGACTCTACTTACGAACATTCCGCACGTGCCAACATCCTTCACGGACGTTCTCAACTTACGAGCATCCTCCACTTACGAACACCCCCCGCTTATGAGCGCCCTCTGCTTATGAACGCCCTCCACTTACGAACATCCCCCACGTATGAACGTCCTCCACTTACGAACGTCCACCACTTACGAACACCCCCACTTACGAACATTCCACACTTATGAATGTCCACAATTACGAACGAAACCGCCATAAGAACTGAACCGAGGAACTATTTTGATTGGCGGGGGCGATCCTCCGCAAGGTGAAATGAGTCCCAGCGTCCCGCGTGATGCACAACACTCCTTCTTGGTGTGGTCTGGGACTGTTGTAGTTGTTGTCTTGTTGTGGTCTGGGTTTGTTGTTGTCTTGGTGAGGTCTGGGACTGTTGTAGTTGTTGTCTTGTTGTGGTCTGGGTTTGTTGTTGTCTTGGTGAGGTCTGGGACTGTTGTAGTTGTTGTCTTGTTGTGGTCTGGGTTTGTTGTTGTCTTGGTGAGGTCTGGGACTGTTGTAGTTGTTGTCTTGTTGTGGTCTGGGTTTGTTGTTGTCTTGGTGAGGTCTGGGACTGTTGTAGTTGTTGTCTTGTTGTGGTCTGGGTTTGTTGTTGTCTTGGTGAGGTCTGGGACTGTTGTAGTTGTTGTCTTGTTGTGGTCTGGGTTTGTTGTTGTCTTGGTGTGGTCTGGGACTGTTGTAGTTGTTGTCTTGTTGTGGTCTGGGTTTGTTGTTGTCTTGGTGAGGTCTGGGACTGTTGTAGTTGTTGTCTTGTTGTGGTCTGGGTTTGTTGTTGTCTTGGTGAGGTCTGGGACTGTTGTAGTTGTTGTCTTGTTGTGGTCTGGGTTTGTTGTTGTCTTGGTGAGGTCTGGGACTGTTGTAGTTGTTGTCTTGTTGTGGTCTGGGTTTGTTGTTGTCTTGGTGTGGTCTGGGACTGTTGTAGTTGTTGTCTTGTTGTGGTCTGGGTTTGTTGTTGTCTTGGTGAGGTCTGGGACTGTTGTAGTTGTTGTCTTGTTGTGGTCTGGGTTTGTTGTTGTCTTGGTGAGGTCTGGGACTGTTGTAGTTGTTGTCTTGTTGTGGTCTGGGTTTGTTGTTGTCTTGGTGTGGTCTGGGACTGTTGTAGTTGTTGTCTTGTTGTGGTCTGGGTTTGTTGTTGTCTTGGTGAGGTCTGGGACTGTTGTAGTTGTTGTCTTGTTGTGGTCTGGGTTTGTTGTTGTCTTGGTGAGGTCTGGGACTGTTGTTGTTGTCTTGTTGTGGTCTGGGTTTGTTGTTGTCTTGGTGTGGTCTGGGACTGTTGTAGTTGTTGTCTTGTTGTGGTCTGGGGTTGTTGTTGTCTTGGTGAGGTCTGGGACTGTTGTAGTTGTTGTCTTGTTGTGGTCTGGGGTTGTTGTTGTCTTGGTGAGGTCTGGGACTGTTGTTGTTGTCTTGTTGTGGTCTGGGTTTGTTGTTGTCTTGTTGTGGTCTGGGGCTGTTATTTTTCTGCCTTGCCCCAAGTTTGCATTTAGTGTTGAAAGATCGGCAGCAATGTACATACTTATGCAATTTGTACTCATCAATATTCATGTTTCGTGTTGTGTTTACTTAACATCCCGCCACTGTCATCAGGGGCGGGATGGTAAATCCCTCACCTGGTGTACAGGAGGTTGTGGGGTCGATCCCGACCCTGACTTCTCCGTTAATGTCTCGCCACGGCGTCGAAGGCAGAACGAGGATATTTATTTAGACTACATGAGGAGGGATGAGGTGATCGATTTACAACAACGAACAATACAAACTAAAATATTTATTTGTATTTTATGGGGTAAGGCCCACTCAGCTATGTAGGTCTGTTTCAGAAGCGACTTGGCTCTTACAAATGATAGCTGAACGAAATGGATTATCATC